GGTCCCTGCGCCAGGGCGGCCAGGGAGAAGATGGGTGTTCCGCGCCCTGCCTCAGCCTGGGGGTGTGCCCTGAGGGGGCTGTGGGGTGCTGGGAGGCCCGTCCCTTGCCCCCTTCTCACCCCACGCCCTCTCGCGCCCGATTTATCACCGTAAGTGCGAGACCCCTTTGTTAAGGCCAGGGAGAAAAATCCTAAACATTTCACAAGGAACTACTTCTCTTTTTTGGGGGTACCTTTCAGATCTGCAAAAGCAAGAGGAGCGTGGAGAGCTGCTGCAGCCACTGATCTTCGTCTTGCTGGTCTTGTGCTCTCTTCTGCTGTACTTTAAGGTGTCTCTCATGGATCCGGGTTTTGTTAAGTCTGAAGAGGAAGTGGAGGTATATCACGTCATGAATAAGAGAAAGTGGTGAAGCTATAAAATCTGTAGGCTTATTTTCTTTTTCCTGCTGGCGAGACAAGAACAATCTGAAACAGCTTCTGTTGCACTTGGCATAAAGGAAACATACACAGACCATTGGAGGTCAGGCTAGGCAGCCTCCAATTCCAAACCTAGCAGGCACAGGCTTCAAGTGTGTCTTTCACCCCATGCTCCTGTTCTAAGCACACTGTGCCATTTGAGCACAAGTCCTCTCTTGCATCAGAGGCTTCAGTACCCTATGGAATGTGTACCTGACCTATTTTATGCTAAACCACTTCTTAGTGGTACAAAGCCCCCAAATTGAATGGCAACCTTGGAAGAAAGTGCTCTCTGCAACTCCAGTTTTTGAGCTGTCTAGATTTATTGCCCTCTCAGAGGACATGTACACAAACAAATTAGAGTGAAGTAAATGAAGATGCAAAGTAACAGAGAAAGTCTGTTCCAGGTTTACTGCCATAAAGACTGTGTAGGACAAAAGCATTATCAATTTTAATCATCCATCGTTACTTTATGAATAAGTAGCACTGCTTATACTGCAAAGACATTGTTACTGTGCTTCGAAGCAAAGTTTAACCTTGTTTATTTTTGTCCCTAAGTGTTGGGATTGATGTGGTATCTTGTCTGCAGCTATTTCTGCCTCTATGCAAACATTCATTTGATGGTTACAGGAGCTTGTTCTCTCTTGCTGTACCTTAACTATCTACAGTGGAATTTCATTCCACAGTCTTTATACAGCAGCTTCTGTAGGGATTCTAAGGGATTATTTTAACTTTCTTAATGATAGAAACAACACTGCATAACTGTGAAGTGAAAGGATCCAGAGCTCAGTCATGCTGCTGTACTTGAGGCAGCATCACACAAAACCTCCTTAGTCACCTCCTTGCTCTGTTTGTGTAGGCAGGGAAGAGTGAAGAACAAAGCCTGGTGATCCCCCAGGCGCCAGGCGACGTTCAGACGCGGCGCTGCGGTTACTGCATGGTGAAGGTAGGTGTTCCTGGCACGCTGGGAGAGGATGGGGTGAGTGATTGGGAAGCTTACATTTTTTGGCAACATCTTTGTTCAGCTGCTCTTGCTGGTGTTTTTCTGCTCTATCATTGCTGCTCAATGCTCAGTGGTTTGGAGGCTTGGCAGATGCGATTCATTCTGTCACAGGAAAAAAACCTGCTGAAAAACTCACAGAAAAAGTAAACACAACTAGCAAATAAAATTCAGATAGAGTCCTGAATTGAAAATTAATTGTGTAGCTAAAGGTGCAGTAGTGATGGATGTGGGCATGTACACTAGTTTTCAGAGGCTGAAACAAGTCCCTGCTGGCTCATAGAAAAAAGGATCTTCTTTTGCCATGGGAAAACTATATTCTGCATTCTTACAGCCATGTCAGTCAGACCTTACAGTGTTGCAAAAAAGGTTGTTCTGAAGATAACTTGATTGATAGAGAGTCAGAAAAGCAGTTGAGCATGGCATGTAAGAACTGCTGGTAGCCTTGAGCTTGTTTGAAGGCCTAAAAGCAACAAAACATTAGCCTGAGCTGTGAAAGACAGCATGAAGGAAAAATTAGAGCAATTAAATTAGCTCTTAAAACAGTTTGCCCAAAGCCTTAAAGTGCCTGTTTTCAGAGCAATCCTTATCAATTTAATAATATCAGGCATTATCCCAGCTTCCATAAATTCCTGAAGAATATCTACCAAGAGAAGCAAACTTATTGCAAGAGGAAAAGCTGGCAAAACAGATCTATGCTTCAGGGAACAAATCCCAGGAGGCACTTTTCTCTGCCAGATTTTTCATCTTCTCTATTCCTGGTTCTTGAGCTGCTTCCCTGTGCAAGTGTCGTGTGTTCACACAGAAACAGAGGTGCTTCCCCCATCCATGCAGGCCCATAAAAACTTCCCATCCCTGCACACTTTACTCAATAGCAGTGGTCCTAGTTTTTTCACCTCAACACTCTGCTTATGCTTTCCTGAATAGACAAATTGGTTCTGTCTCCCTCCTTTACACACTGGACTTCCTATAAGTAGGTAGATACAGTAAAGAAAATGTGTAGGTAGTAGTGTGGGAGAACCATTTAATTTGAATCTCACTCATTAAGATCATGTACTAGGGGAATCATGATCCACTTTAGTCATCTTAGCAATGTTTATGTTGAGCTGTTATCCCAAAGGGAGCACTTTGGGGACAGCAGTGGACTATGGATAGTAATTTTTTGTTGTTTTGCAGCAACCCATGCGAGCCAAGCACTGCCAGCTGTGCCAGCACTGCGTACGGCGTTACGACCACCACTGCCCCTGGATTGGGAACTGTGTGGGAGAGAGGAATCACCCCTTCTTCATAGCTTACCTGAGCGTGCAGCTTGTAGTTCTGCTGTGGGGAGGGCACGTTGCTTGGTAAGGCCTGGAGGTGGCACTTTGACCTCTGAGATTGCTAAAAGTTCTGGTGCTCCTAGGGCCCCACTGAAGGGTTATAGCAGTGACTGGATTGGCTTTGGATCCCCTTGTGCTTCCTGGATATCAGCTCCCCTGAGCCCCCAGTCTGCTGAGGAACAACATAGCTGATCAACAGTTGAAGAGAATCTGATAATTTAGGTTTCCTTGTTTATCTTTGGTTTAAGCTTATATTAACAGAATTAACAGCAGTACACAAGGTAACTAATTTTGCTTCAGTTACTGTAATATGGTCTTTATTTACAAATCCAAGTACTGGAAACTCAGCAGGGTTTCAGCTGAATGCCTATTCAGGAGTGGAGTTACCTGAAGAGGACTGTCCCTCTCAGCTGCCAGGGGAACCAGCATCTTTTAAACTTCTTGGATTCAAAGTCACTGCTGGTGCAGTCTCTAAAAGAGTTTACAGTATGTTAACTCTCTGTAGTACACGATTATTGGAAGGTCATTAATTTTGAATCAAAGTTGAACATGCCATCCAGTTTGCTTGGCTTATATAGCTAGTTCTACATCTTTTACCATGAACATATTTCTCTTTGAATGGAAAGGTCAGGCCTCTACTTTGAACAGTCCTGGGACTGGCTGCAGCACAACATCCTCCTCCTGGCATCTTTCCTCCTGATAGTCACCTTCACGGTTGTGGTCCTGCTGCTGCTGGTGTCACACCTCTACCTGATCTCCTGCAACACCACCACCTGGGAATTCATGTCACCTCACCGCATCCCCTACCTGCGCCACTCCGAGCTGGAGAATCCCTTTGACCAAGGGGTGGTCCTCAACCTCTGGAGATTCTTCTGTTCGTGCCACCTCACTGCATGGGAGAAGATCTACTTTCTCAGGAGCAGTGACCCTGTCTAGTCACCACAGTCCTGACCAGCTGCAGGCTGCTGGGTAAAGCTTTGCTAATGTAATTGTTGCTATTACCTTGCACAGAACTTCATGAACTTCCCATGTTCAACTGTGCAACCTGTTCACACTTGCAGGGTGAACATTTAAAGGACAGAGTTATTTTTTATATATATGAATAACACTGCTAAAGGTGAGGCACTGGTTCTGGGAAGGCCAGCAAAGCTGATTTCTGAACTGAGCAAAGCTATCTCTCTAAATTTACTTTCTTTCGTTAACTGCATCTGTATCCTCCAGAAGAGATGCAAGAGAAGTGAGCATCCATGTCTTCCCCAGTCTCCTTCCCCTTTTGCTGCTATGGAACAGCAGCTGTGACAAAACCAGAAGAAATTATTCCTGTGGCCTTTCTTAAAACACAGTTCTCACTGAGAACCACAGTGCCTTTTGCCAGCAGCGTTAGGCACATAATAGAAATATCTGAGTAAATATTTGGACAATCAAAAGCAAATTTTCTTTTGACCACATGCCTCAACTTAATGCTTTTCACAAGGATTTGAGGCTTAATAGTGTTAATGTGCATGAGAAACAGCTGTAAGGCACCAAATTCAGCTTATGAGATAATTAGCCCCTATTTTGTGATGCCTTGACCAGCTTCCTAACTTATTTTTTCTTTAAGCTGGTGGTGCTGTTTACGATTCACAGACTATTTTGAATGAAGTCAGCAAAGAATGATACCATCCACTTACTTTGGACAGAAAAGTAATACTGGCCTGCTGAATTATTCCTGCAGATAACTTCATGCTCAGGCCTTTCCTGTAGCTTGTGGGGAAGACAACCAGTAGCAGAGGTGGGTACTTCTTGCCTACCTCAAGTAACACTGTTAGTAATACTACTACTACCTCAACATACTAGTAAAGTTTTAATAAAAGAAGACAAAGTTTCAATGCAAGAGGAAAGATTTGGATTGTGATGAGGGAGTGCTGGTAGCTCTCTAGGACAGCAGCAGGCTCCCCTGTTTCACATTGTAATAAAAGGTCGTACTTCAAGTTTCCATGAGGAACTAAAAGGAAGTTTGGGATGACCCATTTTAGTTTTTAACACCAGAAAAGTCTGTGGTGTGAATTTTAGTCCTAACCCTTTTCTGGTTAAAAAAAAAAAAAACAAAAAAAAAACCCCACACCACCACCCAAACAGCACCACAACAAAACTTTAGTTAAAATTATTCTGTGCCTTAGTTGCCTTGGCTCAGGAATTAACATCTGCTGAAGAACACACACATCTGGGAAGCTGGTGGGATGCACTCAGGGTTTAGAGTTTATGAGCACTCATGAAAGGACAGTGTAGTCACTAATGCAGCACGACAGTCCAAAAGCAGTTTATAAACAGCAGAAGGATCCCTTTTTTTGACTAACTTCAGAGTTTGTAATCTGTGTGCAGTCTGGTTTGTTCAGAGTAGGAACTCTATCAGAAGGATACCAGAATGCTGGGAATTGTTTTCCTAACTGGTACACGATCCAGAAAGGATTCTGTGGTTTGTGTGTGTCAGTGGTGCCTGCTGAAGTGTGGCTCATGTGCCACACAGCAACCTCTGGTTCTTCAGGTGGCTGTCAAATAACAGTTTGTTAGCAGGTACTCCAGCTTGCAACACACAGTTTTGCTGTGTTTGGTAATTCTTTTTAAAATGCATCAGGATGGTAATTTTCAGCCTTTTTTACTCTACTGTAAACTATAAATTAAAATATTAAATATGCCTTTTTTGGTTCTTTATGCCTTTTTCTTTGAACCCAAGTTCTAGGCTTCACCTGTGTGAACAAACCATTGGGCCACTTACCACTACAGAGGCCCAGACCTTAAGAAAAGTCACAAAACACTGCAGGAGCCAACAGCAAGCCAACTGCTATTCAGACAAGGGTGAGGAAAACGTGTATCCTGCTCTGAATGGGTCATTATGCTGCAAGGCAGAGCTGAAGGCTGAAAGGCTATTTGTGTGTGGAATTTTCAGGAGCAGTTAGGACCTCCAGGATCAGTGTGTTATTTCTGTTTTGCATGAACACAGCTCTTACCTCTCTGAATCCTGAAGCACATAGACCAGCCTTGATTTAATAATGACTCACTAGCTGCACCCGAACCTTGTCTCCAGATATAGCACAACAGCTTCTCTCTACCTCTGTTGAAGACAAACTGAAACAGTAATAGCTGGGTGGATCTATTTGTCATCAGTGTGATGCTTCACTTCATTTTTTCTCCCAACAAGCTAAAGTTATCAATTTAAGAAAAGAAAATGTATCATATCAAGTATAATTACAAGTTCTGTTACCAGGCAAATGAAATCACCTTTACCTTTCTGATTTTCCAATATTGACACTGTCGTTATTTAGCTGTCCCAGAAAAGATACAGGATATACACATAGATAAAATAGGTGAAGAGACAACTTGACTGCAACCATTTGTATGTGATACCTGACAGCACCATGCAATATGTACACAGGCAACTTGAGAAGGAAGAAAAGCATTACTCTTGACATTTACAGAGCAAAACAAAATCCTGCCTGTTGAGCAGAGTATGGTTAGCCTTGATCTGAAACACTCAGCTAACACAAAGGAGATGAAGTGCTGAAATTTCATAAAGAAAGGTATCTTTATTTTCAAAATAATTAAAAAAAAGCACGCACAAAGCTGTGGCTTTTTTATATCATTAAAAACAATAGCTAGGATTCAGCATCCTCCAAGTAGAAAGAGATTCCTTTGCCTTCAGATAGATCACTTGGGGCATTATCAAAGGCAAACATCATCATCTTGGTTGTGTTAAAATCCATTCCTTCTCAGGCATACACATAATTACGAGTGGAAATAGGCATAAAATCATTACAAAGAGGGAATGCTGCATTATCTTTTCTAGAAAATAGGCAAGAAGTGGCCATTCCCCCTGCTACTCTGCCACTTCAAAAAGTTGTGCTACCTACTTAGGCTCTTTGCAAAGTGTAACTTGAGTTGCACACACGATTTGATTTCATTAAGTCCATCTTAAATTCCAAATTGTCATCTATATTCAATGGCAGCAGAAGATACATCCAGTCAAACACTGATTACTCTTTAAAGATAGGTGACATCCAGTATCCTTCCAACAAATGAGGCTGAAAAAAACACAGTAGGTTAACTCAGCTGGCAGGGCCCTCCCATCCTGGGGTCATCAGCACTACCTGTTCTAGGCCTCCCGTTGACTTTTCCACTGTCCATGCCAAGTCCTCTCTCTACACTCTCGCCAGGTGGTAACATTCTGTTTACATTTCTTATAGCACAGAAGTTAAACATCTAAAAGGTGTCTGGAGACAAAGTCAAAGTCCTTGAAGACAGTCTGCTCCTTACGGGTTAGGAGGGCAACCTCCTCTGGAGGAGTGAGGATTGGCTTTTGTGATGTAAACTCCTCATCGAAGTTGCTAACATCAGTAGGATCTCTTAAAGTGGGCACAAAAGGTGGCTTCAGAGTCCTGGCAAACAAGGCATCCCAATCAATGCCCTGTAAGAGAAGGAATTGAACAGGCCAGTTTGACATGAAGATTATTTATGAAATGTGAAGTAAGAATTGGTTTGCAGCTTCCCTTCCAGATCATTCACAACATGTCTTATTTCTAACAATTTTTTAAAAAGAAAAAAAGAAGAGTGAGAAAAAATTGAAAGAAATACCCAAATCAAACAGCATAGTGGGTGCAGGCCACATAGTACAGAGATTCTGTACAGTTCAAGGCTGTTCTTCAGAACACCAAGAAGCAAAGCTACAGCTCACACTATATTTAGGAGGGACCGAACTGAAGTGCAGCTGTGACCAGGTGGATCTGTGGACTTCCCAGCAATTCATGCTGACATCCAGCTTCTTTCCTTACTCCAGTGCAAAGCCAGCCAGGGCCTATAAGGCTAATAACATCTGGTAGATGGGCAATGGAAGGAGGAACAGTAACACCTTTGCCTGGAACAGAGATATATCCTTGACCCTCAAAAATGTGTCTCTAACTTCAGCTTTTCCTAGGATTCAGGTATATCCTGTAAATGAGGGTGCTATTAAATAGACTGCCTGGAAATCACTGTCATGACTAAAGAGCATCTTTGCTCCTGTTTGATTTAAAAAGAGGTGTTTGTTGATGGCTCAAAAGCTAGGGATATTTGTACATAGATGCAGCACAATCAGGAATAATGAACTGGCTCTGGAAGCTCTGGATCCCAGAGAACACACTCAGGGGCTGTAACTTCAAACATGGATTGAAATACATATTCCAGAACACAACGAGATGCAACAGAAAATACAACTAAGATCTCACTAATAACTAATGGAAATGTGGTTTGCTTTCTCTTGGTATTGAGGCACAACTTCTCCACTCAAACACAAGAGATGAGGAGAAGGGATAAAGTGAATTCCCACCTTAAAAAAGGGCTGGATTTTAATTTCTTCTGCATCTCTTTCCCCTGCTCCCAGTCTACGCTCTGGACATTTCCGAAGAAGCTGTAGGAAATATCAGTTAAAAATTATACTGGAACAAGTGTGGACAGAAATAATGTTTCAGAGAGAAAACCAAACAAAAGGAGATGACTGACCCCTCACTATCTTCTCATTCTCACTTTGCAGCAAGGTCATAATCTGCTAGTATTAGCTCAGACTTAGTTCCTTGTAAACAACTTGCCAACATTGACAAGGTACCCACTATAAACTGGATGAAGCATCTCATCTTAATCGTGCACTACTGGGTCACGTTTGGCAGCTGAGTCAAGCCATCTCCACTGAACACTTCTGACATTCCTGTCCTTGAATCAACACTTCTCCATCTCAGACTCAGCAGCAACTGAAGGCAGTAAGAAGCCTGCTTAGTCATCCTTAGACAGAAGAACTGCATTTACGTAAAGAGAAGGAAAGGAAAAATATGTGTAAATTTCAAATGTTTCCTTAGTCAGTGTAGGCAGCTCCAAATTACACACACAAATGCTCTCCAGTCCTAGTAGGGTCCCTCTGGATCCACTTACAC